CTTAGGGTGGGCTTTAGAGATTTCACAAGCCCAGGCCAGGGACAGGTTTGTATTTTCTTTGTGCCATTGTCTGATATGAAGCTCTGAACTACACTGTCTAGCACCATGCCTGTCTGCTTCCAGCCATGATAATGGACTAAACTTCTGAAACTGTAAGCTAGCCCCAATTTAAAGACTTTCTTTGTAACATCTGCCTTGATTCATGATGGTTTTAACAACATACAACACAGTCTCAAACTGACATCCTCTGTTCAGACCTCTTCCAAACCCCTCAATACTGAACCGTTTCACCTAACATTTCACTTGTAGGCTTATAGCCTTCCTTACATGACAACCTCTGCCCCCAATCCTACCTGTTGTTTCACTATTTACAGGCAATATATGAGGAACGGTCTCATTTTAAAACCTAGTAAAAAGTGACACATTTTTTGGGAAATTTTTACTTTTTTTGTCTTGTCTTTTCTTTTCCTTCCTTCCTTCCTTCCTTCCTTCCTTCCTTCCTTCCTTCCTTCCTTCCTTCCTTCCTTCCTTCCTTCCTTTCTTTTTTTGAGACAAGAGTTTCTCTGTACAGCACAAACTGTCCGGAAACTCTCTCTAGTCTGGAACTCACCTGGCTCTGCTTCCAAGTGCTGTGATTAAAGGTGTGTGCCCAGCTGCGAAATTTTCTTTTTATTATAGAATATTTTCATATTAGAAGAAATAAGTCCCTTACATTTCTAAATTGATAAATTTATAATGATCTTCACACCTTAGTATTGTATTTCAACGGGTAATAAGCCACTACTATACCTAGAGTCTTAATGTTCAGCTCCATTGACTGATGCCCTCACTAAACTTGTTCCTTCTCATAATTCTTTTATACTTTTGCTGTTTTTCTGAGGTACTAAACTTAAACGAGGTTGGCCTTGAACTCTTGATCCTTTGCCTTTGCCCCCTTAGTCCTGAGGTTATAGCATATGCAACCACCCATGGCATACAACACCATTCTTAATAGCCACTCATGGCCAAGCTCCCAGTCATGCCCACACACATCATCCAATTCTGTCAGTCTATGACAGAAATACAATCAGAACACGACTACTTACAGTCACGCCCTCCACTACTAATTCTGGTCTGACCAAGCAGTATCTAATATTGGCTATCTAATGTCTGCTTCCCATTCAATTCTGGTCTACTACACTGAAAACAGTTAACTATTTCAATAGACAATTCTTATCAACTATGTCCGAATTCCCCTCTTCATTTTATCCTCTATTATTCTTCCTGTTCTTATTTTTAATTCAGTCAAGTATTGCCTTTGCTACCTCCCAATCATGAATGAGTAGTTAACAGTGGCTTCAGAATCATTACAGCACTTGATAAGAAAGTACAGGTCCCACATAATCTGCCTCCTCCCGGACTCTCTGTGATTTTTCTCTCTTACCACTTCAGGGCCTGCAAAAATGCAGCCTGATTCTCAGCAAGGCCTTCCTTGAATCAACTTACTCACCAATTCTTATTTCTACCTTCAGTTTCTCAATTACAGCTATCATTTGACATCATGTTTACTGTCCTTACAAACACTGTTTGTCTCTACTCAGGAAAGTGATTCCCAGTCCTGGCTGCACTGCTATGTGTGAAAGAATCAGTGGACACATTTGGAGTTCATTCCTTTTATCAAATACTGTTAACAATCCTCAAGCTGGGTATCTAGAAACCACATTTAAAAATCATTGAAATATGGCAGTAAACCTTTTTTTTTGTTAATAAATATAAATTTATTTAACTTGAATACATATTCTGACTTGGGTTTCAATGGGTAGTATTGAGAATATTTATAAAATCCCCAAGTTACAAATAGAAGTTAAAAAAGAAAAAAAAAAAGGCTAGTAGTCTCTTAGTGCCTGTAGCATATTTACTTTTGGTCCTTAAGATGTATCATACAAACAATATGTGTTCTATAAAATGCCAGGAGCAATAAAATATAGTAAGAAATACTTGAGAAACAAGTAATAAAAACTGTTATTATATACTGAAGTTCTTAATAATTACTTATTACATGTTTCTTGACACTTTTAGACAAGTTTTATAGTTGCATAAGTTTTAAAGCTACCATAATCTCATAAAACAAGATTTTAAAGAGAAGAACAAAATTCTACTACAAAAAATAATTAAAATTTAACCCACATATTTGGATTTATCTACTCTATTATCATAACACTGGAATGTACATTCAGGTTAGATTTCCAAACAAAGTATTTCCAAACAAAGTAACTATTTAATAACATAGTTTCATTAAACTTTTAAGAAAGTTTTAATAACAGGATATGCTATATTATATAGATATGTTATATCTAGTCAAGGTATTCCACATATCTTGTAATCATTCTACAACTGTTTAAAATACTGTCTCCCTATCTTTTTTTCCCTCAGATGAAAGACAATCTCATATACAACAGATATTAAGATCAGGAATATTTACACACAACAGTACTACGTGACTCATAGTCACAACACCTTGTCAGCTGAGCCAGTAATGTCCTCTGCAGTCATTTCTTCATAAGGCAGAGATAGAATCTAAGAAGCATGCATTATTTAATAATCAAAGTAATCATGACTATTTAATTTCAATCTATAAAGGCTATTTTTTCTGACCCCAACATAAAAAATGCTAGCTGATTTATAAAATGTGTATTGATTAGATCTGCTGGATGTTTCTTCATGTTTGCTTTATGTTATATATCTGGTTAAAAAGGTCCTTTTGAATTTATTGTTTTTTCCCTTTCAAGCTATTAACTAATCTGAGGGGAGATACTAAACAGAATCTAATACTACAAAGAACTTTCTCTTTTCTTCCATCACTTACTTGTCTTATTATATTTAACTCTATGCACCTATTGATTTGTAAAAATAGGTTAGTGTCCATCATTATCAGACTTGTACTGATGTTCAAGTTTTTTGTCTCTTTCTACTCCATCCATCCATCCATCCATCCATCCATCCATCCATCCATAAACAGGGTCTCAACACAGCTTAGGGTGGCCTCCAACTTATAATCTTCCTATTTCAACTTTTGACGCGCAGAATCATAGGTGTGTGCCAGGCTCTGTTGAAGTTGTTCTTTATAAAGACAATGGGGCCCCTTTAAGGAGGCTGCCAGGTCTCTCAATTATGGCAACACTTAATAATTTGTTAGTACAAGAAGGTCCAACCTAATACAGTATTTTCCTGAACTGAATTATCATATAGTCATTTGCATTAGAGCATTTGTATTAGTTCGTGTTAGAAAAGACTAGTATTCAAAATTAAATCAGGTACTCAGGGTGTTCTGGTTCTTCATTGTTGTTAGACTGACTTGAAATAGAGAAACAGGAACTAAATTGTATATGTTTTTGCATATATTACATACACACTGTAAATATGTATTCAGAAAAAATTGCCAACTATTTACATAAATCATAGTACATATACATATGCATGAATGTGTATAATAAAAACTTATGTGTTCAGAAGCATGAATTCAAGTCCTTTAATTTTGCAACACAATACACCTGCCTCTCTCTTCTTGTGCTTAATTTTTCCCAGTGACAAACCTGCTTCCCTCTGTATTTACCCATTTGCTCAAACATAGAGTAAGCTGCTTTATAACAACCACCACAAATAAGCTTAGAAATAGTTCAATAATGAAATTTTTGCAATGAGATTGATATATAATTTGAGATTTACAAATGTTAAGTATATAAATTATAGCCTTGATAAAGAGATGTCAGTGTAAATCATACGCTTCTCAATATACATAATTTCCAATTAAGCAAAACTTTTTATAGCCCTTTCCAGATCCATTTCCCTTGCCTCCCTAAAAATGACTTGAAAGTATTTTTCATTTTTTATTAGAATGAGCTTGTCTCTTATGTGCAAGCAACCATGGACAGTATACCACTTGATTCTTCTTCCAACCAGCATTTCTACAAGATCTATCCAGATTCTAGGCTATGTAAGTTGTCAATTCTGTTGTATATTGAGTAACATCACAATTTTGTTTAACATTTATTCAGATGTAGATACCTATGTTGTGTCAAGATTTTGGCTATTATGAATAAGTTTCCAATGAGTAAGGTCTTTTTCTAGACATATGTTTTTATTTCTCTTGGAAAAGTACCAGAACAGGAACTGCTGGATAAAAAGGTGGGAGTATGTTTAATTTTATAAAACCTGCCAATTCTTTCCACTAAGCAGCTGTAACTCTAATATTTCCACCAAGCAAAGTCTGAAAGGTCTGGATTTTTTTCATTCTAAACATTCCAGGGCTAGTTTTTATTTGTTTGGGTAATTTTACTGATTGTTAAAGAAACTGTTTGTTTTTTAAATCAGTGACTGAGGTTTTAAAAATCAACAAAAATGATGCATTTTTAAGGATTCCATGTAATTTGAAAATCCTATTATTATGTATACTGACATTTGTAACTGTGCATTTTCTTTATGAAGTGACCCTTGAGTACTAAGAGATGTCTTGTGTTGCCATCACTAATTTGTTCTTTAAAGCTTTGTTTATTAATGCTACTTGGCTTTTGGTCACTTAGTATTATTTATCAGACATGTCTTTTTCTATATTTTCACTTTAGAGAGAGCAACCAGTACACCTAATTGCTAAGCTGTCTTTCCTGCCCATATCTTCTTTTTTCTCAAGTGAATATCAAGTGCTATCAACAGAGTTCTGGTGAATAATTTTTTCATTTCTGCTTTTTCCCTCCATTCTTTTTCTCTAAGCACTTCAATATTCAATTACATTATTTTCTGGTTTGTCTGTCTCTCTCAATTTTTTAATTGACAAATCAAGTATTTGTCAAAGTACTGCTATTCTGTGTGGAAAGTGTTTCATTTGATTTTCAAACTGTATTTAGAAAAAAATAATTACCTTTTTTTGTTTCTATTACTGTTCTGACAGACATGCTTTTCTGAATAAATAATGCAATCAGAAAACTGATAACAAGTGACATTATTTGTAGTCAGTTAATACTCACTTCATCTGTGAGTTCACCAAACACTGTGATGACATCTATTAAAAGGCTGGCAGTGTAGAAGGACTTGATCATGTTTCTGGAAGAGAAAGGGTATTCTAATTTAAATTAACAAACAAACAAACATCGAAATGTAGTCATGTACTTGTAAAAAAATAACATTTAAAAACACTGAAATTAATGTTTGAAATAAAATCTGTTCCAAGAACACAAATGCGAGTCCATTGCTAGTATTATCAGAAGCCACTCACACACTCAAAGTAAATGCTGCAAGGTTTATTGTGGAAGTTTTTTTTTAGGAATGTCAAGCATGGCCTGAATCTCTATCAAACCACAATGTACTTCTATGGTTTTAAATACTATAATAATGACTAATAAGTCAGCTAAATTGGCTGGTATAGTATTCATTCTTGTTTTTGTGTTCACTTGTTGAAGCAGTTCCTTGCCATGCAGCCTCTGTTGGCCTTGAATGGTGGATGATCCTCCTATCTCAAAATAGCTATGTGCCACCACATCCAGATAGGCTGGTATGTTTTTAAATTTTACTGCCATCAGGAAAAATTTATTTTGACTATTTTTACTAAATGTAAAGAATGGCTAATTGGGATAAATTTACTGAGAAATAAGTTTGACATAGCTAAAATTAAAAAAACATTTACTGAGAAATAAGTTTGACATAGTTCCAAAAATTATTTTCTTTAAATAGAAAGGCCTACATCTGTAACCTAAAAATCATTGTGGATTTACAATTCCACAATATATAAACCATTACTTGGGTGGTCAGAAAGCAGTCAACTTTCTGACAAACTTGTAAAAGCCTTTGTATTTGCCTGTGCTCACTTACTTGTGAAATCGTCCAGCTCGATCTTCATTGTCCGCGTACAAGAACATTTTCAAGGCATAATTTTCCAAATGGGCACAACCAACTATTTCTTGAGTAACAGCTTCATTATCTCCCAACTGTTTCTTAAGCTAAAATAAAACCAGACACATAGCTCATGATTTGAATTCTCAGAAGGGTCTACTTATGCACAAGTAATTCTAATAAATACTTTAAGTAAATTACTTTACATTCATTTCAATAAAAGCTATAACAGCAAATCTATAAAAATAAAAATGGGTCTACACCAGCCTTCTATATCCAAACAAAAGCCTGATTCCCTCACAGAGTTGAAAATGTAGAGTTACAATTGATGTCTAAAGATGAAAATAACCAAAAATAAAAGACAACATTGCCACGTATCCTGGTGAATAATGAAAACCTGCTTAAATATTACCCAGTCGCTAACAACTACCCTAAAATGGAACTAGAAACTTCTCAAGCACATAATTTAAAATTTAACTTTGACCCATTTCAGTTTGTATCAAATATAAAAAGAGTAGAAGCATCACTGTGCCCTAAAATAGTGCCTTCAGAACAAGTTTAAACATGAGCTCACACCAAACTAAAAGTATACAGTGACAAACTCATTACCAGATTATTTTACACTTAAACAGGTACAGTCCAAGTCAACAGAACTTCAGCTATGCAGAATTTTAGTTTGCATATCCCTCCACTGCATATACAGCAATCTGAAATATTTACAATCACAAGAGCTTCTGTTTTTCTTGTCTAGGACCATTATATTAGAATAAATTATTTTCAGGAATATCAGATTCAGGCAACCATATTATTACAACTGCTTCTATTAGAGTCTGACTGGAGAGAGAGCTCAGGGGTTAAGAACATTTGTTGTTCTTGCAGAGGACATGGGTTCAGTTCCCAGCACCCACAGGGTGGCTTACAATAATCTGTCACTCAAGTTCCAGGGGACCTGATGCTCTCATCTGGCCTCTGCAGGTACTATACACATGTGGAACATATACATACATAAAACCACACTCAGGTGTGCAAGCACACACACATACACATGTGATATCAGGATTGGCTACTAAGCAAGCTAATGTAAAACTCTAAAAATTAAAATAGAATAATTTAAAGATCAGAAGTGATGTATGTAATGTTGGAATTTAAGGTAATTTTGACTAATCTGATTCTGGAAAAGAGCAAAAAAACAACCAAATGCACATAATTTAAAACAATTTACTATGTTCAAGCTGAAAACGAGATTTAGTTCTAAAAAATTAGTGAGGATATGCCACTTCATCTTACTCTCATCAAGCAAAAAAATTCTGATAAAACCACGACATATTTGATGACTTTAAAGTATAATGCAAACAATGTATCACAGACATAAGCATTCATATGGATAAACTTACCTGACGTCATTTAAACTCCTGGTGAGTCTCTACATAAATGTGACGATGTGAACTGCAAAAAACCTGAGTTCTGCTCACCCTGAATTTCTATCTTACTTGTTATTAGTAGTGTGAAAGAGACATGTTCTGTATGGATGTCTGTACAAACTCACTTCTATGTTCGAAAGTCATTTTCCATCTTCCCCAGCAGCATCTCTGCTGTAGCACTCTAATTCACCTTACAACCAAGGAAGCAACACTAGAAACCAGGAGACAGTGACAGCCAGTTAGGTACAGGGGGCACTATAGCTATGGTTGCCAATTACCACGAGGCTCTAAGTTTTTACCTTGGACTGGCCCTTTCATATGAAGAGTAACTTTGGAATAATAACGAAAAGCAACCAAAACCTTAACACATTCTGGACTAATATCAATTATTTAATTTTAGTATGTATGACTGTTATTTCCTTAAGCGAAATAATGCAAGTGATCCAATTAACATATTCCTAACTAGACAGTGTGCCCACAGCTGTCAAAGGACTCAGATGTGTGCGTGACTCCCTCACTGTTTTGCCTTTCTTAAGAGATAAACTAGGTGGTCTAGTTGGCTTTTCTGCTGCTGTGATAAGAACAATGACCAAAAGCAACTTGAGGAAGGAATGGTTTATTTGGCTTGCATTTCCAGGTCACAATCCATGTTTAAGGGAAGTCAGGGCAGGAACTGAAGGCAAAATTCTAGAGTAGAAACTGTGAAAGAATGTTTCTATCTGGCTTGCTCTCTGATTCTCTTAGGTAAGTTTTCATTCACATCCATTTGCCTAAGGATGGTATCACCCACAATGGGCTGAGACTCCTGCCCCAATTATTAATCATGACAGTTCTTCATAGAGATGCCCACAGGCAACTTTGGTCAAAGCAATTCAACTAAATGTCCCTCTTTTCAGTGACTTAAGTTATAACAAGTGTCAATACAAACTAACCATAAAACCTGAATAGCAGGGCAAAGGATTACTAAGACTATTAATGGTGGGCATTGCATTCTTTATTCAATAACATCTAATCGAACAACTCCACTTTCCCTCAAGTGACCTGCACAGTAACCTGTGAAGTTAAACCTTGTTGAAGGGTCAGCGTTGTTAGCTGCCACCAAAACCATCCACCAAGTATAGGAGAGTATGTGGCCTGACATTAAGAGGAAGGGAAAGAGAATAATTGGTACCTCTCTCTTCATGATTCCTCTCACTAAATAGCCCATTTTATTACAGTAAGAGCTATTAGAATTCTTCTATCAACAATCCACATGATTATGTTAAGGGAAGCAAGAAAGGCCTTACTACTTAGGAAGGGATGAGCAGAAAGCCCTCTATAATAATGTGGATGCAACAATAATTGGGCCTACTTTGTACCTGAAACTCTCCTGGATATGGTGTGGGTTTTTAAGATTCCTCATTTTTCTCCAGGTATAATGTGACACTGCTAAGTGTTTCTAGGGGAAGAACTGAAATAACAGAAAATACATGCACAAACATACAAAATCAAATGCCATGTAAGACATCCAGATAGTAAGTTATTAGTGTGTAACTTACAGCTTCTAACTGATCCATTAGCTTTGATAAAAATTTACGACATTCAGGAGTTTTGCTATCGATCTTCATTCCAGTTTGCATAGCATATAAACGACCTACACAGAAAAGAAAAATATGTTGGCTTTAAATTTCTATACTTTAAAAAATCATCCATTAGTTATTTAATTAGGTCCATGGTTAAGAACTTTACAACACCCATTTGTGAGGATAACTTCCACTGGTTAGGATATAAGCGGATGACACAGAGACCTGGAGCTGGGGAACAGCTTTGATTTTTGGGAAAATGTCTAAATCACGAGTCCACAGCTTTCTGATCAATTTTAGCTGCTCGATAATTTGGTATTTTCCTTTTTCCATTACCCCTATCTCACCATCCTTGTATCTGGGCTTTGACAGTTGCTGCTCTTGAGGTAAGCACTGCTGACTGGACACAGGAGTTGTGCTTACTGCAGGGCTTGTTTTTTTCTTTGCCCCTGGGGCTCAAGAGCCTTTGCATCATATCCTGAGTAGAAAAAACACCTAAGCATTCTGTTAAGCATACAAGCTAAGGGAACACCACTCTTGTTCCCAGCAAATGGCTTGTGAACTTCGTCTTTACAACTTAGCAGCTGCACTTGTCCTCTCCTACATGCCCTTTCCAGAACACACAGCAAGACTGGGAACACAGATCTTGAGTATTCTTGTCTCGAGTTTTGCCTGTTGAAACACGCCAACAACTCTGCTTTCTTGGCTCCAGGCTTTACCTTTTGTCCAGCTTCCTGGATTTTTTAAAGCACCAGCTTATGAGATGGGAAGCAGCTGAACTTCAATACTTCAAATATTTCTTTTAAGTGACTGAATATTTAAAATACTTTTTGACTAGTAAGAAATTCAGAATTTGTATAACTTTAAAATAAAGATTAGATTTCTTAAGGATTTTATTTATAAAAAACACAAAATCCTACCTAAAAATGCAACACAGGCATCATGTTAAGACATCTTTACAAGCAAGGCCTTCTTTTTCCATCATGTTAAAAAACAAATAAAAAACTAAGTAGGCCCTATGGTGTCAAAAGGATATGTAATTTAATTGGTGAATCAAAACATTAAAAGACAACACAAGACATGACAAGACAAAACAAAATAAATAAATATAATCCCATGTAAAGAATGCTTGCCAAATTAGTGGAGCTGATAGACAACTTGGGCTAGGGTGGTGTCAACAGAGGCTTGAGCTGAAGTTTATAGGGAGAGCTAGTTCAGTCATTTCAATGTACTTTTTCCCTTTAAATAAATAAACCCCTTTAAAAACTAATAAAAGCATTTGAGATAAGGCTAAAACTGAAGCCCTCTCTAACAAACATCCCAGTTTCAACAGTTTCCAGTGTGGAGAACTAGAAATGTTTATGATGGTGACTTTACAGGATCAACATACACATAAAGTCTGTAGTGTCTCCTCCTACACACTCAGCATGTCCCAAAGATGGAAGGGCTACTGTTTCACAGCACACATGGCTTCTAGCAAATACACACTGGGGCAATTCTAAAAGTTGACTGTTATAATTAATTTTGTGCTACAGTACTGTCCATGCACATATTTACAAGTTCCTTGGGTTAGAGAAAAAAAAATGAGAGGTAGCATTCTCTAGTGCCATTTGCACTGAGAGATACTTGAAGGTGTGCTTTAAAACAAAGTACCACTATATAGTTATTTCTGTGATATATGCAAGCACCTGTATTTCTTAAACTCACACAAGCTGATACTGAACAAAATCCTGTCAATCTAGGGATTGTTTCTTGTTGCATTTCCTGATGACTAAACTGGCATTACATATCTTCTAGATATCTTGGTATTCTACTTCTGAATCAGGACTTCTTTCAATATTAAAATCTCTACCAAACATGCTTTCTTTGTAATAAATTAGTCTGAAGAACTATTGCTTTTGGCTTTCTTTGGGAGATGGGGAGGAAGAGGCAGAGATTAAAATTGGGGTATCATGTTAGGTGAACATAATACCATCATCTTTACTTGAGATTAGATAGACAGAAATGTTCTTACCCAAAGACACAATAGACTATACTTCTCTCTTGTCTCCCAAACCCCAAAATTAGTCCTATTGTTTAGTAACTTGTCCAGGGCGTTATCTGGGAAGACTACCTTTGTTAGTCTTCAACGACTCTGACCTCTATTAGAGTATGGTTGAATACTATCTCCTTGTTAAACCACTTCTATTTCTTTTTAGTTGGCCAAACTTGGGTCTATTTTATTTAAGTTCTTTTGTTCTTAAACTTGAATTCTGACCACTTTTTTGATGAGCTGCCCATGTCCTCTTACAGGGCTTAGTGAGATTTCTTCTTACGAGTCCATTACAGAAGCTCTTCAGATAGAAATATGTTAGCTATCAATACTTTGGGCACTCTTTTAAAAATCACTTATATTTGTGACATTCTTCCAAACGAACCAAAGTTTGGGAACTTCTTTTATCTGCACATTTACAATTCAGCTAGATGACTTTACTGGTTTTCTTATTGCTTAATTTTCTAAATTTAACTCTATCTTATATTCTACCTTTAAGTGAGACATAGTTGAAAATCATTTAATACAGTACCTTTTCTTTTTTAGTGATCTGTGATTCTTTAATATATTTTACTTTGTATACTTTCTACCTGTTTGAGTTTGTTGAAATCTTGGATGAATGCCTTTGTAAATATTATATGATGATGTCCTTAAATGACATTAGCCATTTTGTCTCCTAAATTTAATCCATGTTTTACAGTATTCTTAAAGTTACTTAAAAGACATTAACTATCTTTGCGCTTATTTTTAAGAGTAAGGCTTCCACAAGGAAGGAATCAGTTCAATGCCAGTGGCCAGGCCAGACTGCTTACATTTTCCCCAACAGTCAGCATCCTCAGCTAAAGTGGAAGCCTCGGTATGCACATGAGCCTGGGTCAGCAAGACAGCTGGGATGAACTGTGGAAAGATCTAAAGACATCTAGTGACATTTTAATCTCGGTCTTCTAAAATAGTTACTTTTATATATTCATTTAAAGTTACTACAACAATATGTAGTTAATAAATTATAGACAATATTAATGAAGACTGGTGTTCAATACATATTTTTAGTCCTACGGGGTAGATGAAAAATTTTATAAGCCCCCTCCTCACATACTGCTTCAGACTTGGCATCTACATAGTGTTTCCTCGGTCCCCATGCTTTGTTCTAACTGAAACCTGCCATCACTTCAGGGCATCAGGACTGTAGTCCTCAGGTAACCATTATTCTTTAAATTCCCCCACAGATTGCCTATCTGGGATTTACAAATTCTGCTGTTATCTAATTTTAATCTCTCGCCAGTGTCTTCCCAACTCTTTCAGGCTGCTATTGTCCTCTGTCACCCAATATTATCATGTCTGCAATGATCTGTGGATCTCAGGGTCTTTCTTTGTCCATCCAGCATACTCCTGAAACTTTCCTGGTTACATGGAGTCTACTGTAGCAGAGACTGCTGGGTGCCTTCTCCAATGCCTGCTTCCCAGCTTTTTGCTATGCAGACATGTATGCACTTTGAAATGAGCATTAAATTTTGCAATGCTCAAAACAAAAGTATGGCATTATATAAGAGCCAAATCTAACTTTGCACAACTAGAAACTGCTGGGGGAAGACTTTCATAAAGTCTCCTTCCAGCCATAAATGGCAGGGCAAGACCTCACTTTCTCACTTCTTCCTTGCCATCTAGAGCACTACCACTTTGTAACTCAACTCTAGTGTTCACATCGGACTATATGCAAGCTTTGCAATGTGCTAGTGCTCGCTCTGAAACTACACTAGCTTGAGGCCTAGTAACTTCCTAGAGATTCACTGACCATGTGTACTGCTAACAAGTCTTTCTTTTAAACGGGGAGTAAATCCTTATTTAATTGGATTACTAGTTTGAATTTTCTGTAATAAGCAAGGCGATCTAATTTAAATGTAAAGTGGCATGCTTACTGACCTCTGCCCACACACTGTCATCCCACAACTCAATTACCATCTCCTGCTGCTATACACAGGGGAAGGAAGTCTGTCAAGCACAGCTCTATGAATGCAATACTCTGTTCCTCTAACATTTAACTATTTGCACCACTCCAGGCTTCCAGTTCTTGAGCATCTTTCCACTTTTAAATTATATTCTGTCTTCTTTCAGGTATCTCTGTAACCATATTTAATATTAGATTGCATTTTTCTTTTAGTTTTTTTAGATAAGAGTCTTGCTATGTATGTCAGGCTGGCCTGGGACTCCCTCAGTACGTAGCATCCTTAATGTGGTGGGACTAATAGCATCCTTAACGTAAAATTAGATCCTCTCAGACCCTAATTCGACATTTTTGTATTAGTTAATTAATTGTCTTATAATTTGAAGTTTGAAATAAGCAATAAAAGATACATTCTCCAATACTGATTTAAAAACAAAACAAAACAAAGACCTTAAGTCTCTGTATGAAAGAAAATTAGAAAGTATCTTTTGCCATATGGATGGAAAAAAGGATCACTTTCAAACAGATGTCTAAGACAAGCAATTCACTGTAGAAACAGAGTTATAATAAAAATCAATGTGCAACCTTGAAAACACCTATAAAGGTAGAACAAATGTGTGTGTAGCTAAAGTCACCTACAAGAATATTTCATATTGGAATTTCTTTTAGGAAAGCTGGATAATTTAATTGTTTCCTGAGTATACAATATAATGACACGTTTCCCCTACTTCCACATACACCATCACCCCCACTCTTTTCCAAATTCATGGTCTCTTTTTGTTTGTTTTTATAAATAAATATTATTGGATGATGAGTAATGAGGTATGTTTGCAAAAGGATTAAGTACTTTCCATTCCAACTTTAATTTAATGTGAGGCATTCAGGAGACAAACATCCGTGACTCATGAAAGTGTGCATTATTCAAGGTTCCACAGATGCTGAGCAGAAAGATTCTAACAGATCTTGCTTATCCAAGAGAAATGTAAAAATGCCTAACATAATGTAAGTATAAAATTTTAATATGTACGTATGTATGTATACACCCATATACACAACAGTGGAGAATAAGGTTTTATTATATTAAAAGAATATGGCTT